TTACAATTACAAGTTTGTTTGTATGCAAAATTATCGAGGTAGCTAATATTTACAAAAAGTACAATATTTTTTCACAAAGGTATAAATAGGTATTTTTTTAACAAGATTTACAATCTCCTCCAACAATTGTAATACAAATATTAAATATATCAAGTAAATGCATACCTATTATATGCATTTCATTTTCCGTACATATAACCTTGAAATATAATGATGTTTGGGTCAATAGATTTTTGTAACACATTTAAATTATCCTCACATATTCAGAATGAACGAAACTCAACCCTTTATATTTTTCCGTATAGCAATCTAAATTAGAGTTTTATAAGAATAAAAATCTATACAATTAAATATAAATAAATAAATAAAAATAATATAGTATATTAATTAAATGCATATGTCGTTAGAAGGCTATAAGAGTACCTATTATAATAATCGATTGACGTACGATGACCGCTGTACTAACCACAAGTCAATTATATTAATAATATAATAACAATGTCAAATACTTACCAAAAGAACAGAGAGTTCCAATCAAAATATTTGATGGAAACAGAAAAAAAGCGGCTTGATTCAACACGTGGATAATAAGACACACGGAAGACCAAAAAAATTAAACTACTCGGCAAATTCCTCAATGACTCGGCCTCACACTGGATACGTAAGACGAAAATGACGACACAAGTATTAACAAAGAAAGAAATGTCGACAACCGATATGGCCGTTAGGCGATAGAAACCGAAAAATGGCGAACGATAAAGCGTCCGTCCAATATTATTTCGTGTCCACCGTAGGTATACGCGGTACATACAAAAAGTGACAATAATAAAATAAACAGTGCGGACAACATGATTACCGGTCGGGTAGAATGACGATTAGAAGACGGGGACTGGTACAATATATCACCATTAATAACAGTGAACCTAATAAGAACAAAGCAAAATTGCATACCAATTATTTTACGACAAATATTGTAACGTTTCGCGTCGTCTTGACAAAAAAAAAATATTAAGATAGTAATACTTTAAACAAGAGTTGGCAGCCGTAAAGACGGAGTTCGCCACGAGCGTTATGCGACCCGGGCGTTCGCCACGGACCGACCTGCAACCGAGACAGGATCTGCCGGAGTTACAGGATTTACCTAAGTACTAACAAGTTAAATGTATTGAAACATATTATAGAACATCCTGAAAGGAAACATAGGTGAAATATAAATACNATACGATCACGTTAATAATATTGCGTAGTAAAAAAAATTACGATATAGTCACTTGGATTCAATGAAAATATATTATTTGTACATATTAAATAAAATAATTATTTGTAAAAATAAAATATGTCATTTTGTCATTTATGTTAGTTTTCTCAGAAGCGAATACAGCCGGTATACTTGATAGAATACAGGTGAAATTGAGATATGAAGGGATTCGGGAAATGTCTAAATGTCAGTATTTTATGTTTATATACAGTAAAAAATTGGAGAAGTTATAACATATACTCCTACAATCGAATTTTCATGATATCATTATGATACCTTTACTTTATCTAATACACATTAGTACGAAATTCGATAAATTCAAAAAGTTCCGTTTGCTACCACCATGCACTTAAAATTAAAATATTCTAATATGAATATATTTCTATTATCCAAAATAGTAGACAATGTTTAAAAAAATATCAAAATGTGTTTCTATTCAAAATAGAGAACATCATAAATATTTCTATTGACACCGTCTATTATTGAGGGAATAGAAACAGAGCACTTAAAAATGTCTAAATACTGACATACTTTGTGTTTAATACAGTTAATACAATAATAGCTGTAGGCAGAGAATAATGTAATAATTAATAAATTGATAGAAATCTTTTCATCTCCCACCATATCTATACAATTGTGAAACTTCAAAATTTTTATTTTATTATATTAAATATTATATGTAAGTACCAGTTAGTTTGTTTTAAATTTAATCTATACTTACTTAATAGTAAGTAATAGATAGTTATAATGTATTGTACCGTGTTTGTACTTTTGTAAGTACATATAATGAGTTATTTATTTATACACAAACATACATTAAACATGTTATATACCTCTAATTTGTTTAACCGGTGTTTAGAAATCCATTATTTCTATATAGGTAATGTCTTTTGTAGACAAGTGAGAATATTGTCACATATTTCAATACTGTCACTTATATAAACCGTTTCAAGCATTATTACTTTTTATAATAATATAATATCTATATGAACATTAAACACATAAATAAATTGAATAATTAGAGATATTATTGTGCAACGCAGTTAACTTATGTTCACATTTTTTTATGAAAGGATTTGGTGAATGTCTAGATGTGTATATACCTATTAACATACAGTTGTGAAACTTCAAATTTTCATATTATTATATTATAATATGTAGGTACCTGTTAATTTTGTATATACTTACTTAGAAGCAGCTAAAATAACAGTGGTTTGATAACAGAGCAATGTAATAAATAACAACGAATAATAATTGTTAACAAATGTATTGTACTATATTTCTTTTACATATTATATACACATTTATATTTATAGTGAGGCCTTACCTACTCATTTGTATATTTATACAGAATACACATACATATACTGTGAAGAAATGAGAAAAACAAATTTAATAAGAAGTTATATATACCTATTATTCAGTAGGTACCTATATTAAAGTACTATCTAATGAAACATTGATCACTGAATATAGTTATAATAAGTTTTTTTATAAATTATTTTTTTATTAGTACAGTATTATTGAGTTAGAATACATTAAAACAATACATTTTATTAGAAAAATTAAAAAATAGATTTAATTATTATAGGTTTTTCTTTTTAGAAAATATATTTAATATCAAAGCAATGAATTAATGTTAAATTTATTTTTTTAAAACAGTCATTATTGCATCTAATACTAATAGTAATATTAAAAAGGGTTTTAAATTTTAATTTTAAAATAAATGTTTTTAGTTAACCCAATTAAAAGAAGGTAAGTTGAATGAATATTATTGAATTTTATCTTTGGCCTGTCTATCTGTATAACTGTATAACTATATATGTTTGTAAAACTGAATTTAATTTAATCAAAATACAGAACAATTTTAATGTTAACCAATAGAAACTAAATAGTATATTCAAAACACAATAAACCCTTTAAAAAAACAGATAATTATCAGCTGTTTATAATTCATACAATTTGTCAACTTAAATACCTAATATAAATGAGTATATAATTTGTTTAATTATGTCAAACATATTATTTTAAGATAATTTCGTTTTTGCACTTGTCCATATTGTTAGTAACAAATTTTATTATTCATAATGATAATACACATATTTATTAAACACATTTTTAATATTATTGACATTTCTAAAAAAAAAAATTACTTCATGTCTTCTTTTATAATATGTATACTAATTACACAGGTAAATTGATTTGGAATATGGTATCTTAACTTTTATTTCATGATCAACCAAATTTAATCTTTATGAAATAATAACCGTTGGAGTTAATTGTGTTTGTATATTGAAATTTCAAATGCATACAATGAACCTACCTAAGCGTGTTGCTGATAAAACATATTTGGTCTGTCTTAATGTATTATTATTTTATATTATAAATATCATTTATAAATTAATTATAACTATTTATAACTCTTGATTGATGAAAAATATACTATGGATATTTCATTGCATTTTTCGAATTTAAGTATTGTAATTTAAATGATTGCATGTACTTATTACATTACTTTATTAAATTGTTTTAAATATGCACTAATAACTAGTGTAGATGTAGAATGTAGTTTTTCTTTATACAAACATGTTTTAATTAATAGAAGATTTAATAACAATGAAAATAATTTAGAAATGTATCAAATTATCAATTTTAATTAAAAAAAATTAACATTTATCTAATTGTTTTGATACAACTTTTGCATTTTTATAGTGCAATTTATATGCAATTATATAATTTTAATAAGCAATTTTTGTGTTTTAAATGCAATTGAATCCGGTCTTTAGTTATAATACATGTAATGTATTCAATGTTGATTAGATGTATATTAGATATGGATATTATATAGATATTCAGATATTCAAAGTTTAATTAATGTAGAAAAAAATTTATAAATCTATAACAAACAAATACATTATAAGCATTTAGAAATCCATGTTTGATAAATGTATCTAATGCTCACAAGTAAATCTCTTCTAAATAAGACATCCACGGTTTAACTTCGATACTCCAATACTTAATAAACTAAGTTTTGTACATTGGGATATAATTAAATTTAGTGACCTTAGAAATGAATATTAGATAAATATTAAATATATATTTATCAGTAATAGTACTGTAATAAACTATTATAATTTTCACTGTTTAATATAGAAAATATACTAATTTAAGAAGTATAACTAAAATACTAAATAATTATAAAATAAATTATAATCGACAAATATTTTTATATAATATTTATGTATTATTATGTTGTATGTATGTAATTATATGACATTTACATAGGTTATTATAATTTGTTTTAAGAAAGGTTGTTCAACATGAAAGGAAATATGGATATTATTTATGTAGTTTTACTTGAACTGCTAAAATTATTAATGTAGAAAATTGAGTTATCAAATTAATTAAAATTGCATTATAATAATAACATTAATTGTGTCTAATAACTTATACTAACTAATAACCACTTCCTGGTAGGTACTTTTAAAATGTTATACTACCTAAAAACAAAATGCATTATTTAATTTCAAAAAAAAATCAGAAAATACTTCGAACACTTTTAAAACTTCAAAAGTACAACTCGGAAATTTTTTTATTTAGTGCTATATTATAGTTGCATATTTATTAACTACCAATATAATACAACTTGGCAAAACTGTTAAATAATTCCTCTCTCTTGTTTCAATATTATCAAATAAAATTTTTTTTTCTATATACAAATATATCTATGAAATTAAAATTTAGATATATTTTAGCAATAATAGCGACCATTCGATATAATTTAATTACTGAACTAGCTATATAGGATGCATAGGAGAAAATGTAATACTGCAAATTTACAATCAATCAAATAATAATATTCCTGTAATTTAAAATTGAAAATAATTACAATAATCCTTTTAACATTATAAATAAAACATAAAAATTGTATACATATCAATAAAAAATTAACAGGTAATAAAAAAAAAATAACATAAACATTTCAAAAATAAAACATATTTTTTTTTTTATATATCAAAAATGTTCGATTTAAAATGAAATACACAATAATAATATAATCTGGTATATTGGTAATCAAATTCTTAATTTTAAATGGATTAAATAAAAAGGGAGTTGGGAATACAAAGAGTATAAAAGTTGATATACTTTTTAGCGCTATTGATGTTAGAAATATTAATTTGTGTGTCAAAAATTGTATACAATCTTTTACTTTTTGAACAAAAGTAAGAAAAAAAATAATTTTTTTTTTTTTAAATTTACCTAAAATTGAATGGCACATGAAATAAACAATAATGATATAAACTTGGGATCAAATGGTAAAATTTACAATAATTTAAATAAAAATTGATTACAAAAAGTATAAAAGTTCGTCCAGTGCAGAGTTAGGAGAACTTTTTAGAGCTGTTGAAGTGAGAAATGCGAGCTTGTGTGCCAGCTGACAAGGGGCTGGAACTCTTACAGTACCCTAAATAAAATAAATTTAACAACAAAATAAATATGTAAACTATTTAAGTCATGAAAAGTAAAACATCTAATCATTTACTAACCGACCAATTGTAATACATGTGAGTTAATTTATACGTAAGCCTTTGCATTATATCAGGTGGCAGTTTTAGAGTGTCTTCAATTACATTATAATGTGTTGGAGTTACAGTCACATGTTGTGACACCAAGAAGAAATCATATCTGCAAGAATATAACATTGGTTAAAACACATAATAATATTATATTAGTTAGGTTATTACATGCAGTTTTAAGTTTGAAATTATTTTATTATATTTATGAAATATGAAAATTATTAATAATTGCATTGGTACATTGAATATATTAATGAAACCTATAATACATAAATATATACCTAGTGTTGTACATACAAGACTAGTTTTAAGATTACATAGAAAGAAAAATGTTTGTTTTATATTCCTAAAAACCATTAAAGTAGGAAACATTCAATTACATGATCAAAAAGAAAACTAAATATGAAGAAACAACAAAATTTAAATTGTTATACAAGATGAAAATCTTATATTAAGGTATCTAGACAAATTAACTAATTTTTAATTAATCTTTGTTTAATATTAAAATCAGTTTTGATATGAAGGAGTTTTTAATTTAATTTTATTAAAATACATTTACCATTAATACCTTACCTTTAAAAGCATCAAAATGAACTCGCAAATTATTTAATTTTTAATTATTATATAAATCAGTACTTACTTCTTGGGATCTGTTACGACACTATCAACAATTGTACCAGGAGGTGGATTTTGGGGTGGAAAAAGTCCTTGTTTAGAATGGCTAATGAATCTGGTACTTATACGTTTTGTAACTAAAACAAATGCGAATGGTACAGAACCAGGGCCGTAGAACGTTTCAAAAGCATTCTGCAAAACAATATTTTTTTTTTTTGATAGTTAATAAAAAATTAATCAAATATACACAAACCTTCATAAGTTTAACTTCAATGTTTTGTACGTGAGAAATTTGCCCATCCCCAACACCATCTCTGTAGACTACAACCGATGTAGGTAATTGTCCGTTTTTGTTCCTATATTTCATTAGTGCTTCTAAAATATCAAAGTTAAAATATAATCAAATTGAACATTTCGAAAAGGGTTTACTTTAGTTTTTTAAAAAAATTGACTTCCTATTTGTTTTTAATGTACACATATAAACCAATATTTTATGATGGAAAAAAGAGCACAATATTTTACTTTAATAGTGAATGAAAACATCTGACTCACTGTAATCAATTTTAAAAATGACTCATCTTATTGAGAGAAGACCATTTCGAAATTGTTACAATATACTCAATTTTGAATGCACTTATTTGTACTAATTATAGATAGGATAGCCCATCTCTCCCATTGGGATTTGCTTTTTGAAAATAATTTCTATATTGTACAATTGTTTGTTTAATTGACTATAATGTTCACTTTAGAACTGTAAACACAATCTTATTCTGTTATGCGAATACAGGTAAAAAATAAAATGTTAGTTTTTTAATTTATACACGTTATAGAATTCTCAACAATGGCACAGAATTATTTTTATATGAATTTAAAAAAACACCGAAATACTTTGCACAATAGATGAACCACTGTTGTAGATGAAAAGTTGGGAAGGTAGTTATTTATTCTTCAATTTAGATAAACCAATGTTTTCCTCACGCTTTAATATAATTTATTACCCAGAAACAGAAATAAAAACATCAATTTCATTTTTTTCCAATGAGATATTACAAAAGTGATAATATATCCATTGTCCACTTATGTATCAACATAAATCCTAATATAACAGTAATATTTTTGATGGTTTCGAAAAATGAAAACTTATTTCTGTGTAAAAACTAATTAATATGTATACATTATACATAGGTATAAATACAATAATAACTATTTATACACTAATCAATAACCATTAAAGCAAACATAGCTGGTTTAAAGAACCATCAAGTTTGTTAAATAGAGGTTCTACTGTATATGCTATATTATTAGAAAATAATATGCAATGTATATTTTCTTTAATACTAATTTGGACCTATTTTTCTGGTTTTCCCATACTTTTTCGAATTTTTTTTTTCCATTTCTTGGGAAAATTCACAGGAAATCAAAAAATGAACTCCTTTAAATATCACCCCAGTCAGATTTCATTTACAAAAAAAAGTGTTTTCATTATAAATCTGAGCAAAATTGCTGGTAGAAAAGTTGTCCACAGAAAAAAAAGATAAAAATCACTGTACAAATTTAAACAATTATTAATGCAGCAAATCAATAAAAAAGAATATAATTTTAAATATTTAGTTATTGAAACCAGTAGTTGTGAAATATAAAAAGCAAATTGATCTATTAATAAAAAGAGGAACTTAGAAAAATGATATTATAGATATTACAGAATCCAAACAAAGTTCTAGAATTACAAAAACTATGTAAAGTTAATTTTGCATTGGTGAAATCAATAATTGATAGTGGCATAATGATTTATGATAAATTGACTTCCACTTGTTTAACTGAACAAAATAATGAGAAAATTTAAACAAAAAATAATTCTGAGCAGAGTTGGTTATAAATGCTTTGAAAGGCTGCAATATTTACGATTTGAAAATAATATATTTTGTACATTTTATTATTTTTCCTATGTTTTTTCCCATTTATTAAAATAACTACCAAGATAATCAAAATTGACCTCTCTTAAGTACCATCCTAATCAAATTTCTTTTCAGAAAAGTGCTACATTTGAAAATCAGAGCAAAATTTTTGGTAGAAAAATTATTCACAAAAAAAAAAAAAAATAATAATAATAAACATCATTGTAAATTAAAATATTCCTTACTTTGATCAAAATCTAAAAACGAATCTACTTACTACTAATCCCAGCCGCAAAATGCCCTGAAAGGTCTTCACCACTTTCATGATGTTCAACACAGCTAAAATAACTGGTATGTGTGTCCCCCATTGTCGCAACCAATGCCCCATATGATATGTTTTTGCGTTGACTGTCATGACACACATCATAACCAACAATCATCATTCCCTAAAATAAATAAAATAAAAAATTTATAACAGGAGAAAATATTAAATTAAAATAGTATGCACGGTATAATACTATTAAGTTCTACTTTTTTAGGAATATTAATGAGCCATGGTGCTCCTCCAATTTTGCAGTTCACTTGAATGGCAATCTTAGTACACACTGACAAATTGGGCTTTTGTATGTTTTTACCCAAAACTACTTGTGATGGAACTGAAAAAATACATTATACATATCAATATTTAAATAAATTTCAGGATGTTATATTATAAATTCAATAAAGATATAATAAATAAATAAATATTATATTAATTTGTTTAATCAAAGCTGAAAAATGATAAGCAATGCTTTAAAATGTTCATAGATAGAATAAAAATCCAAAGCATCAGACAATTTACTTAATAAGTCTAAAAAAAAAAAAACTATTGAGTGTTTTTATTTAAAATTTCAAAACTTTGATTTGATTATAATATATTTACCTGCCCTATCTATGCATAACTTGCGCTTAATCAAACTGTATAGATCACCTCGAGGAGACGGAATAATGCACAAAATCATAGAAGGATTTCTTTCGTTAATTGTTATCTCAAGTTGTTTAAGGTAAGATATTGATCTAGAATCTTGCATGGGAACACTAAAATTAATAAAAATCTTAAATCATAATATACAGTATATAATAATAATAATAATATTAGAAATTAGATTTACATAATTGGATTGGGTAACATAAAACTCATTCCTTTTGATGCCTTTTGAAGGGAATGAATAAATGTTTGTAGACCACTAACATAATCATTAGGACTTAAAATTACCCAATGTTGTATGATTGGACAAGTAAACATTGATGCACATCGTAGGTGTTTTGTCCAATTAGCTTCAGGACCTCCATCAAAAGTTCTATTGCTAAGTTTTATAGATTCTGGCGCTAAAACTCGCCCAGGGACATCAATCAGACCATTTTTTAATGTTAAATTCCACTTTTGCAACTCAGCTACAGACTAAACAAACATTTCAAAACATTATGATTATTAATTTATTACAAAGATTGTGTAAAAAAAATACACTATCATATTAATATTAGTTGTGAAATTAAACCTATTAAATTATAAATCTGTATAGAAATAAAATAAAATAAATGTTTAATCATTGAGTGATTAAAATCACAGGACAATTTTATAAATAGATTTTATAATCTATACTACACAAATTTGTATACTTGTTTGAAATATTTTATATTTTTTCATTATATTTTAAAAAATATTGTTAAAAAAAAAACTAAAATAATGACTTTCAAAATTAATATTTTATATTTAATTAATAACAGAAAATTTGCCCATTTTTTAAAAGTCAAAATAAAGTTATACTTAATATATATATATTTTTTTTATTTAAAAATAAATAATCCAAAAATATATTCTAATTAATATTTTGTATACTAGATAGTTGGAAATAAGAAAACATACAAATATTTAATAATTTAAAAACAAAAATATACTCGAACAAATTACAAATATCCAAGTTAAATAATCAAAGAACTGGTCAACATTTAATGTATGTATCAATTTATGAATATAATTGTATTCATATTTTACATTAGATTTCAAATAATATTAATTATAATAAAAAAGTACATTTGGACATTATCACTTATCTATCTACAATACCATACATATTGATATTATTTAGTATTATAAATAAATTACCTGACTGGTTTCAAATGACAAATTATGTACTTGGTTTTTTTACATTCCCAGTTTCCCGCTACAAAAACTTTAACTTCATTTTGAGGTGCAAAATTGATCAATAAATATCATAATCTTAGGTTATTTTTACATTTGCAATTAATTAGTTTTAACTACAATACATTATATGATCTAACTAATTAAACTTAGTGTAATTTTTTTTAAATTATAGGTATAATTTTGAGAAGGGTCCAATATCCCATGAATAAAGTCTGTATACAACTATGATACAACCATATAAAAAGTGACTAAAAATTAATTACCTCATCTTTCGAAAGTAGTCTGTTAGCAAAATTTGTCAATCTGCTCATTCGTTCTGAAGGCGATATTCGTGTATGTATAGCCATATCTTTCATCAAGTTAAAATTATTTCTGCAATTTAAAAGTTTACATGAAATTTAAGAAAATAATAATAATTCATTTAATCAATACTTTATAAGTTCTTATTATTCATAAAGTTACCTCATAGCATCAGTAAGTCCTGTCATTAGGCATAATTCAGGTACAAGATAGATTAATGTTTCTTCCAGTCCAAACCGACGAATAGATTTCTTATTCTTTGACACCAAGAGGGGTTGTGTATCACCATGAATCGTTATACCCCATTTCTAAAAAATATTAGGTATCATTAAGTAATATGCTTAGAAATTAATTAATAGATTAAATATTACTAAAATACAAATTATCATATAAAACATTACAACATTAAATTAAACTAGAAAAAAAATTAATTAATACACACAGTTTTATAATAATCAATATATGTCATCTTGGTGCCATCTTTTTTAGAGAATTCTGAATATGGATTAACAGTTTCATCAATATCATCGATCCTGTAAGTTTCATTGTTGTACAAAGTCATGACAGTTGTTCCCACTACACCAGCTTGAAAAGTTATCTAAATAACAATGGTTTGGTTATATATATTGAAGCATTACCAACAGTCAATTCAAAATTTATTGAAGTCAAAACAAAATCATTTTTTAATTCTTTAAAAAAATATTACATGAAAATGTTTTTAATAACAATATATTTAATAACTAATACCATCCAGTCTTTGTTTCTTTGTCTATCATTAGCACAGGTATTTAAAAAATCCAAAACAGTTTCTTGACGCATGACCTTGGTGGATATTTCAGCGCACAGTAAAATATCTTTCTCATACATTCCTATTGATGCTTCATAACCTGGCCAGAGTTGTAATTTGTGATTGGGCAAATCAATCTAAAAGTCAATAAGAAAAGAGGTTTTGAAAATTATTTAAGGAAAATAATAACTAATGAATTTTACTTTGGCCACTGGATCATAGAAGTTTCTTCCTATCATTTTCAGGTCTAAGTGTCTCATGCAATTACGTAAAAGCAAGTTAAAAACTTGGATGTATGCATAATCTCCAGATTCAATTATAGAAGTGTATTTTACTGATATAACTACCATTTTTTCCTCATCTGTAGAATATTTTGATATCAACTCAAAATTCTAGAAATAAATATTTAGATATTATATATTATTTAACAAATCAAGTTAAATAATATTATACAGGATAAACATTTTCATTAATAATTAAACATAATATGTTTACAATACTTTGATAATTTTTCAAAGACGATGTACAATGCCTAAACAGTGTATCTGTTGTAAATAATTTCTGATTACTTACTTCCGGATCAAATCTAGTACCAGTAAAAAGCATAGTACCATCGAATATATAACCACCAAGTCGTTCTCGATGCTGACCTAACAATCTTTTTTTAGTGCCAATCAAATCTTCCTCAGGATTAAAATCTACTCTGTACTGATACAAAGACCATTGTGCATAGGCAGTGATAGGAAAATAATTTGACACTAAAGAAATCTTTTTACCAGTATTCCCTAAAAAAATAAATATACATTTTAATAATGGTAAAATATATTTCATTAGATTTTTTTTTTCTTATTTTTTATTAAAACAAATGGATACATAAATTTAAATATTGATTTATTTGACCACCTGTTAATTGTGTTTTTTATCCATACTACTATGAATAATATAAGTATTATAATAGTATTATTAGTGATACACACTAATAATTCCTATAAAATTATTAATTTGACAATGACATGTAACTTAGGGTCCTAGTGTTGCTCAAGTAACATCTTAAATATGGGTGGGTGGGTAATTTTTTTTAGGTACACACCACTGAATTTTGAAGATTATTAGGAAATAAAAATATTGTAATGACTGTGTACCTTGTTTTCCTGTAGCTCCTAATGAAGATTCTGGTCTTGCTGCTTTAAATAGCTCTTGGGTATCTATAATTCTACGTCCACGAATTGATCCACGTCCTATTGGAACTGGTATTACTTCTAAATTTTTAAAAAAAAAAAAAATTTAAAAGACAGTCAATACAGAGTGAACTTTACTAAAAATTTATTAGAAGTTTTGTATAGGTTGCATCACAGAGAACAGTGATTGTGACAATGAAAGCATAACCAAATAAGCATATGTCACAAACAGATAAAGTTGTACTTACTATGGCTGTAAAAGATGACCTAAAACTAATAAATATAATTTAATATATAATCAGTCAGAATTTATTTTAAAGCAAACAAAACAAAACTACAAAAAGTTATAATTTTAGAGGAAACTATTGAATATATAAAAAGTACTGGATGTGTAGAAAAATTAAAAATATTATGAGCAAAGAATTTGATAATATGAAGAAAATTATTAAAATAGATTTAGAAGAAATATTTAGTTACTGATATTATACAATATAATATAATAATTATTTAAGTAAAATTTAGATAGGTACCTTGAGCCTTTTCAATATTTTCTCTAGCAATAGTTTTTGGAACAGGCACTGCTCGAACCTAATAAAACAAAACAGTATATAGACCTATACATAATATATATATTAATTTTAATTTAATTTATTTCTTACAGCTGCACGATATGGTAGAATTGGTGGTCTAATTGAAGGAGTTGGGCGTAACATATCTGGTAAAAATTGGTTTTATTAATTTTTAAGAGAGAATTTAAATAAATAAAAAGCAAGTAAAATATTATTTACAATGCTTAAAATCTAATATAATATTTATAATATTTTATAGTATTTCTAAGTTTTAAATATAAAAGAATATAGATACCTGAAACTCTAGCTGCTAACTAAAAAAATAAATTGATAAATATTAATAAAATTTAATTAAAATGTATAAGGGGTTATATCTTACTCCTAACACAGGAGGTTCTGCAGCTCTGTGCCATACTGGACGTGGTGCACGAATGTTATTGTTTGCATTACCTACAGGTAAACAATGTTAAAAAGTATGATCTATAAATATATGTATATGTATGCACACATAAAATAATATAGTATGATATATTATGTATTATATAATGGTATAAAATTAAGATGTAAATAATAATTTTTGTTATAAAAATAATGCTAAATAAAAGTTTAAAAATCTACATATAGGTATTTAAAACTATTTCTTATTTAATTTACAAAAATAATAAAAAACAAAATATTAACAAAAACAATTTAGACATTAAATTTTTGTATATTTAAGTATAATATTTTGTATGTATATTTAACTATAATAAGCATATACCTGCATTCAAATTTCTTGGTTGGAATCCTTGATTTAAAGGTGCAGGACCTCGCGGGAACTGCTGACGGGGCATTATGAAACTATGACTGCTAAAAAAATATATTAATATAGTTTTTTATTTTACATAACCGATAATGTTTAACTATATTACAAAAAAATAAAGCAATAATGCAGACAAGTGTAGTAACTGTTATAAGTGGGAAGTTAGGAAAACAAAATACATAGTAATTCAATTTATATCTGTACACAATGATAAATTATAGCTAAAAAAAAATAATTTAAAATAAGTTTGGTTAAACATGGTTAAAAATTCTATAATTTTTAGGATTACTGACATTTGAACTTGATACTTATTAGAAAGAATTACTGCCTAACACTCAACTTTTTTTTACCACAAGATAAAACTTGTGATCAGACTTAAGGACTTGTAGTATTTACTATGTTTATTTTTTTTTTTTGTTAAAATAGAATGCGGCAAAGTTATTTAAATGCTTTTTACTAGTTTTCACTGCTATTTTATATTTAATGATTTCTTCAGTACTAACGAAAAATCACAGTTTTTCTCCCCAAATATTTTTAAATAATTTTGAATTTGTATTCTATTATCGAATGCTTTTTTAGCTTATTTGAAAAATTTAAAAAAAAAAACGCTCGTTACTAGATTGTCTGACTTTTTAAAATATTTTTTTATTGTTTATTAATTCAATTTTTATTAATCTATTTAACAGCTTATTAAGCTTTTTTAAGGGCTTATAATAATGATTTTTCAAAACATTATAGAAGATTTTAAGTACATTAAGTCCAGAAGCCTGCTTAAGATGAGCCTTATGTTATATTTTCAAACACATTTCTGCTTAACCAAAATAATTTTAAAACCAAATAAACTTTAAAGTTTTATGTGTCTATAAAGAGCTCAAATATTTTATTTTTCTTAATATTTTAATCTAGAAACAGCTAGTTTGAGTATTCTGTGAAAATGTCAGGTCTTTAAATAATAATAAAATCAAATTTAAAAAAAAGGGAAACTGTTTTTACAGTTTTCCTACTTTTTTCCCAATTATTGAGAAAACTTAAATGAAAAATCAAAAAACGACTTTCCCAATGCACCAAGCCCAGGTTCACATTGACGAGTACTGGACGATACCAGATTTGAATTAAACAAATCTCATTATAACCAAGACAAGGTTTTAAAACTAATGCTAAAAATCGATTAAAATATAAATACGTTGATGACATCTTACTTAACCTAACTGCAAACTGACGCATCCCTCCCCTCCCAAATTGGAAATCCCGACTGTATTATACTTGTTAATACAAATCGATAAATGTTCGATAGAAGAAAATGAGTACAAAAAAAAAAAAAAAACTTTCAATCATACAAGTTGAAAATCTAATCTTGTGTACCGATTATAATAGTATAGGTGGTAAAAACGTATACCTTATTAATAATGTGAAAAATGACAAATAGGTATTTATACCTATTTACACAAAAGATACCAAGTAGTATTGAATTTTTTTTTATTAGGTAAAAGAAAAGTTAGGCGAGGTTGAGTTATTACTGACGTAAGTGAAAAAGAAATCGTCAAACTGTACGATTATCAGTCGTGGGATATAGCGATGCCCACCAGAGTTACACAATTGGTTTTAAATAAAAACACGGGCGAAGACTATTTAAAATAATTATAGGAAAATACACAATATTATTTATATATTGGACAATTATAATTAGCATTACGAGAACAATCACTTTGCTCATAAGCCTTCCTTCAAAATAAATCATGTCCCACGGATTACCTAAATAATGAAATCTCTATCACTGCCTTATACGGTAGGTCAAGTTAGACACTTTCGTCACTTGTTTTATTAAACTGTTAAATTATACTTAACCTAACTATAAATCGATTTTTCTCATTTCTTCATATTTATGTGATTTTATACAAAGTGTAAATAACACTCTGTTGAATTGGACTTCCACCCGTCACATTGTAATGAAAAAATAAATACGAGTACACCGGTTAGACGAATAATTGAACAATACGACAAAAACCGTGTAACATATTTTAACATAACAAATGGGAAGTGGAAAATGGCCTTTACAATAATACAAGCTATATTATTTTAAATGTCATATAAATAAATTTGAAGAGATATTTTTATAATAACACAGTTATTAAAACCATTTGATTTCGACATCGTAACGATGGCGTATTTAATCCGCGTGAATAAATGGACAATTGACGGTTTGTATAACGCCAAAAACGCAAAAAATAAAACTGAAATATTGTACGAATTTATACAGACTAGTAAAAAATAATTACCAACGAAAATAATTGTTACCTAATGAAGATAATAATATTATAATTACTGTGAATAAATATCGTGATGATATAAAATACGACTATACGAACATTTACGGTAGTTAACTACGCAATAACGAAATATTTTTAAAACCTGCAAATAAATATTATAGTATTGTGTCTAATAATATTTTATAATATTATTCACGGGTAACCTGTCGGGGGAAGGGGGATAGAAACAAATATATTACCTCTGTTGATGTTGCTAAATGCCAAAAAACAGACGCGCTACGGGCCGAGTATCGACTTGCCCAGCGAAGCCGCAGAAAAATTAGAGTAATGGAGACAAGAACTGTGGAACTGTAAAAGACGGACTGCGACAAAATGCATAGACAAAGCGGTAGGCACTGCTAAAACTAGTAACCGGTGAACGTTGACCGGTGGTGGCGGTAGTGTTTAAAAATTCACAATGCTCCCAGAACCGTTCTATCTTGTACATAGACAATTATAACCGTCGGTTGCGTCGGTTATAACCGTTATTCGGTACGCTAGTCGAATTGTCGAATTCTAATTGGCTGTACGTATCAGCATAAACACTAACATCGAAGTTCAAAGAGCTTATGAAAAAAAATTATAACATCTTTAGTTTGAAAACTTTCCGAAATGTCATTACTGAAGCCTATTGTCTAATATAGAGATGTCATTCAATTTCGAATTGAGGCGTAGAGGTCTACTTCCAATATGACCAGATAACAAAGAACATAGCTATTGTTTAATTTTGTCTTTTACAAAATAACTTAACATATTGAGACAAAAGGTATTTGTTAAATAGATTATGTAAATTTACGATGATTTAAGAAAACAAAAAGTTACATTCATACTTACCTATGGAGCGTCATCTTTTTTTCTTTAGATTTACTATTACGCGCTATTATTATTATTAAGCGCATATTTATTAAAATGTCTATGAGTAGAATACAAATGTCGATCCTGGTTCTGGTGCCATATCCCCGCCAATAACCGCAGTTGATCGGTACTCCGCCCCCGCCACTCACCGCGGCCGCACCGCTCGCTTACTCCGTCCTCTGCTCCACAGCGCAACCCACGCACATACACATACACACAGCTTTACATATCAGCCAGACTTATATTATTATTTGGCGGGTTAAACCAAGACACGAGGTTTATGAAAAGGTAATAAAGAAACGTTTATTTACCACATAAAGACATAATACAAGTGATCGCCAGCAGACGGCTTTTGACGGAGGAAAGGCGAGCACGCAACAATTAAAAACAACATTAGTTAAGAAAAACAATTATTCATAATAATTATTCGGAGTCGGAAAACAATGCTTCGCGTACGGCGTCGGTGCGGAGAGAAGGAGCGGAGCGGTCGTGACGTCGAGGACGAGAGGAGCTGTGGGACGATGACCGCTGAACGCCGACGGCGAGGGGCGTGGCCGACGTCCACCGCGAGCGACGCGCAGCGGGAAGAAGAAATGTGGCGCGAATCCCGCCACATCACTCACCCCCGGGGAAAAAGAAATGAACCCGGTTACGCGAGACGCGGTCGCGTCGGACGTCAGAATTCGCAGCGTAGGTGTGGTCTTCCAGTGGGCACCGATGTCTTCCTTGACGGTGTTACGGAGCGCGAGGACCACAGGCAAACGGTCCGACCAGCGCACGGAGTCGTGCGCGATTAGAGCTGCCTTGAGCGTGCGGTGGAAACGTTCGACCATGCCGTTCGCCTGCGGGTGATAGGGCGAAGTACGGACGTGCTGGATGCCACATGAGTCCATGAGCGCTTTAAGGAGGTCGGACTCGAACTGCCGGCCCTGATCGGTGGTAATGACATCCGGAACGCCGAAACGAGCGATCCAATTAGCGATGAGGGTAGAGGCGACGACGTGGGCAGACATGGAGTCGATCGGCCATGCCTCCGGCCAACGAGTGAAACAGTCGATACAGGTGAGGAGGTACTTGGAACCGTTCGAAGGAGGCAGAGGGCCCACGATGTCGAGGTGGATGTGGCCAAAACGGCGCTCAGGAGGCGCGAACGAGGCGACATGCGACGAAGTATGACGGTGGACTTTGCTTTTCTGACACGGAACGCAAGTGCTAACCCATAGCTGGATATCTCGGTCCATGTTCGGCCAGCAAAAGCGGTTCTTAATGAGCCGAGCAGTGGCTGCACGGCCTCCGTGCGCCTGATTGTGGATGGACGCGTAAACGGCTTTACGTCGACAGGCGGGGACGAAAAGTCGCCGAGAACCGGTTGAGACGTCGAAAATGAGCGAACCATGAGCCCAACGAAGCAGCGGACGGAGCTCGAGAGATGAGCGAACTTCGCCACAAAGAATTTGATTAAGTTCCGGATCGTCGTTCTGATCGATGGCCCACTAATCCAGATCCGGATGATAATGATCGAGGGACGCGATCTCGAGGCGAGAAAGCGCGTCGGGCACGACATTGGAATCGCCGCTAACATGTTCGACGTCATGTAGGTCCTGCGAAAGGAATGCGATGTGTCGTGCCTGTCGGTCGATTAACTTTTCAGACTTCTGCGAAAACATGAAGGTAAGCGGCCGATGATCGGTACGAAGGGTGAAACGACGATCTTCGATAATGTGGACGAAATGTTTTGTCGCAAGGTAGGCGGCGAGGAGCTCGCGATCATACGCACTATAGCGATTGCGCGGGCGAGAGTTTGCGCGAGAAGAACCCGAGAGACTGACAGCTAGAGCCGGATTGTTGCTCCAGGACCGCGCCGACAGCGACCCGGGACGCGTAGGTGCAGAGGCGAAGCGGTACGCCGGGCAACGGATGCGCAAGACAAGCGGTGTCGGCGAGAGCCTTGCGGCAAGCACGAAACGCACTACGAGCTTCGTCCGTCCATGCGAGCAGACCGTCTTTCTTCGCAACCCGTGAGATGAGAGCGAACAGAAGGGCTTGCGAAATGGCGCGGCGTGTGGAATAAACCGGTGGTAAAAATTGAGCGATCCTAGGAAGCGCTGGAACTCCTTTTTGGTCTCAGGACGCGGCCAACGACGGACGTCGGCGACGGATTGCGGATTCGGGCGTGAACCGCGTGAGTCGATGGTATGACCCAAAAATATTAACTCGCGAGCGGCAAAAACACATTTCGCGGGATTAACGGCAATCCCGAACTTTTCGAAACGCGCGAACACTTCGCGGACGTGAGCACGGTGCTCGTCCTCGGAAGCTGATGCGATTAGAACGTCGTCGACGTAGGCGAAAACGAAACTGAGGTCGCCCAAAATCGAGTTGATGAGCCGCTGGAAAGTCTGCGTGGCGTTACGGAAGCCGAAACACATGACTGGGAACTCGAAAAGACCGAACGGCGTGGTAACAGCCGTCTTGAACGTGAACGTCGTCGGGCGCGATCGGCATTTGATGGTATGCGCGGATAAGATCGAGCTTCGAGAAAACATTTTTTCCCGCGAGATGGGCCGTGAAATCGTGTAGGTACGGGAGCGGGTGGCGATCCGGAACCGTGACGCTGTTGAGTCGACGATAATCGCCACACGGTCGAAAGGACCCATCCTTTTTTGGCACGAGTAACAACGGACTAGCCCACGCACTCGAAGATGGTCAGCAGATGTTTTGCTTCAACATAAGATCGAACTCGCGGCGAGCGGCGGGCCGGACGTAACGAACACGTGCTCGACATTATGAACAAACTTCTTCGGAACCGGCGATTCCCGTGTGATGCCCGGGAAGTCTTCGAAGATTTTGTCCCAGTGGCGAGGGCGCGAAACGGAGAAAAGTGATGCTCCTGGACCCTTGACCGAGGTGGTGCGCACGGTGTACTTGTCGATGGGATCGATGAGAAGATTTCGCCGAATATCCACGACGAGACCAAAATGATGTAAAAGATCTGGTTGGCACGTCAGCGCGCTCGAAGGTCCACGTAAAGAGCCGTGACAACCCGAGGTCAAGCGAGAGGGTCCTGGAACCGTAAGTTTTGATGCGAGTGCCGTTGGCGGCCGTGAGGCAGAGGTCGGAGTGCTGGGCCGGGTCGACCACCGGCGGGATGATCGAAATTTCGGCTCCGGTGTCGATTAGGAACAACGTCCCGGAACGGACGTCGTTGGCGAAAGCCCGCGCAGAAAGGGCCACGGCATGCAGTGCGGGAAAATTGGCCGTGGAGCTCAGATTTTCCGACGCGGTGGACGAATGCGAGGAGTGTCGCGCTGGGCGACGCGCGAGAGCAGACTTCTCGCTACACGGCGGACGGCACTTCGCAGTGCTACCGTAACGCGCGTGATAATAGCACGGAACACCCGCGGAGGGAACGGAACGGGCGTGCGGGCTAGGCGGACGTGCCTGCGAGTGCTCGGACGGACGAGGCGACGAAGGAATCGGCCGAAATGACGCGTAAGTGTCTCGAGACCATCCTCGAGCCTATCCAAACGGTCGGGAGAAGAGGTAGTGGCGGATGAGGACGCGGTGTCGATCCGTGACGAACAGGCCTCCAAAACCCGGTCAGCTCGTAACGCGAGCATATCGGGCGGACCATCGAGGCCCGCGATGACCGCGTGGACGTTCGCCGGAAGCTTCTGGAGCCAGAGATCAGTGAGCAACTGCTCACTGAGACCGCCCGCTACAGATTCCCGCATCTCGCGGAGCATCTGAGACGGACGTCGGTCGCCGAGCCCGCCGGGCTGGATAAGGGTGCGGATGCGTGACGAGCGCATGTCGACAAAGACGTCCACCAGTCGAGCCTGGAGCGACTCGTATAGGACAGTGGGTCCCATAATATCCGCAATTGCTCGAATTCCTTCCTCGTCGAGCGCGGAGAGCAAAAAATTGACCTTGGACATGTTAGCCGACACGCGGTGTGAGGCAAAGATGGCGTCTGCGTGCAAGAACCAATGAGCTGGCGAATGTTTCCAGAACGCTGGAAGACGGACGTTCGCGATGGCGGAGATATTGTCCTCGATGACGGAAGGGTCGGTAAATTGAGCCATTACGACGAAGGCGGATGCGATCGGATGATCACGTCGAGGTCACCAATTTGGCGGGTTACAACAAGACACGAGGTTTATCGTCGGTGCGGAAAGAGCGAGCGGAGCGGTCGTGACGTCGTGTCGAGCGGAGCTGTGTGCAATGACCGTTGAACGCCGTCGGCGAGGGGCGTGGCCGACGTCCGCCGCGAGCGACGCGCAGCGTGAAGAAGGAATGTGGCGCGAGACCCGCCACAATATTATCAACTCTTATTAATAAATGTTACCATTATTTTACAATGTTATCACGCTTATTATCACAGATGATACCGAATTGATTCTTATTGATGGATATTATTAATTATACATACCACTGCCTATATTTTTACCACAGATGTTATCAATATACGTTATGGTTTAATATTACATATTTAATTAACCACCCCACTTTAGTGTGTGTAGGACAATGGAGGGGGTTACTCTTTAATTTTCTGCCCGACGGATTTAATCCAACTGTTAGATCAGTCTTGATTGCATCTTTGCCGATATTAGTTCACTTTTATTTTATGTTTAAATTTAACATTGTATAATGGATCATTGCATCATGCTACACTGTGTCGAGGAGAATAACTGTGTCAAAATAAAAATTGCAAATAGTGGATATGATAGTAAGTTAAATTGTTCGTTTCCTATACATCTCGAGGAAAAAGGCGCAGTATATTGCGTGAAATCACGGGATGTGAAATTAAACGTAAGTTCAAGATACTATAATTTAAAAAACAAGAAGAGTATAATACGAATAAGAAATTGGTCAAAGGACACAGCCGCCATATATGTGGAGGAGAAGTGTGTTATATGTTTAACGAATAAAGCCTGTTGCGTTTTATTAGAATGCGGACATATGTGTTTTTGTCTGTTGTGCTTTTCAGATTATTTATGTAATTCTGAACCATGGAATTGCGGTAAAAATCACCCGAAATGCCCGATTTGCAGAAAAAAACACAATATGGCTGTAATCGTGTGCAGATGACCCCTTCTTAGATGAAAATATTTCGTAACGCTCTCCCCACCATAATTCAAAAGTGAGCATCTATACCGCTTCGAAGAACGTCATAGTAAATCAGTCTCGTTCAACCGCTCTTATTAACAACTCTCAGTTCCAGACTCGACTTCATTTTTTTTTCTAAGTGAGATTTTTACATATTAATATGGCCGGATCAATTACGATGAATGCAGCAGGTTACAAGCCATATTATAATTACGTCGCCCCATCATATCCGATTCAACTAATGGACTCTACGTTTCTCACTCTAAGTGTTCTCCACGATGGGGAGTTTGATTAGTTATGTTTTGGATCCGACTCTGAAATACAAAAAAACACAGTTGTTTCGTAACTGAGACGTTTACAATATCAAGTATGGTATATCAAGGAGAAAATGTCGTGGTATTGGAATTTAAAAAAACAAAAACGGATGCCGTGTGCTGCTCAATGGTTTAGATCTTATGACGGTAGGAAGCAAGTATTACAGAGGTGGTAGAGAAAGTCTACGACGATACGATGCTCTTTGTTCGAGCTACTAGAACTTAAAACCAATAAGCCGTGCTGCTAAACTCGGTATTTGTTTTCGACGACATAATAAGTGAAAACCAAAACATCGTACGTTCATATTTTTCTCGAAGTCGACACAACCAAATAGACGTGTGCTACTTGGCGCAATCGTTTTCCCGTACACTTAAACAATTAATTACTGAGACAACAATAATTTAATTATTTTATTTAAACAAGACGAGAATTATTTAAGGCACGTATATTACGATCATTGCTCTGGCGATATGTCGTATGTCGAATTTAAGCAATTTTGTATGGTTTGTTGGAACAATGGGAGATTCGAGTTTGTTATGATTAATAAAGATAGCGAACGCGATAACGGTCGATATAGACACGGGTTCGACACTTTAGTCGCTATATAAAGCCTGTTTTTTCATTCATATCTCATTTATTGTATAATCATGCACAGAGACGGTTTATTAGATGAGCTGATCGCGGTTAAAGAAAATATAAAACGAAAATATTCGGCACTATAGCGGGGAGATGACATTGTTCAAGCGAAAATTCTAAAAACTCTAAAACCAATTATCAATCCATCGAATAAAATCCAACAGCAAACCAATTATAATCCCACCGAATATATCAATACGTTACCAGATAAACCGTTATCTGTTATAGATATGGATTTGACAAATTCAGTCATTAATAAGACTAAATCATCATATGATAATTGGTTTTTATCTCCGGATTTAGATAAAACCTACGGACCCAAAAAATTATATCATAATCATATTATTTTAGGAAAACAAATAATTAAATTCACAACAACTTCTTTAACAACCTATTGTAAAATCCTTCTTTGTGTGGTAATGACGGCTCATCCAATTTTTCCCAACTATTTGTGTACTCGTAGGGGTAAAATCTTTTTTGAGTCACATATTCCATGTAATTAGATGCAAATATTTTTGCCGTCTCTCCAAATTTAGATTTGTCACCTCGAGCTAAATTACTGGAAAGTATTTTCAAACTCGATTGCATGAAGTGGCATGTATCAAGAAATCTTATTTGAAATTTAGGCGAAATCTATTTTGTAAATGATATTAAATTTTCTTCTGTATTAGGAATTACAGTGATCGATTGTGTGTCGTTTCCTAATTGCCTAACAATAAAATTCGAATTATAACTCGAAAGATTATGAAAAAAGCACGGAACAAATTAGGGTTGATACATTAAAAGATTGCATTTACTACAAACAGTACCTCGGTAGGTCCCGTTTAAATTGTTGTTATCGTTAACTGGTAAATTTTCACTGTTGAATTTTTTTTCGCACAGAGAGCACACTTCACTATTGTTTTCATCGGTCATTATGAGTGGTACATTGGTTTTTTATGCATTTTTAATTATTTGCCAACTTTAACAATTTCGTCCATAAATTTAGCCATTATTTCACCTTTACTCATACTTGAATTTCTGCTAAATACAACCGGACCGGTCTCTATATTATGCTGTTCCAATAATTCGCTCGAGACGTCATCTGATGTTTTTATATAATAACAATGACTTCATGGTGGTGGATTATTTTTGTATTATTATTTTGCCGTGCGTCTGTTTCTTTTTCCAATAAACATTCAAAATCCGCGTAAATCGCAAATAGGTGTTTATTAGTGGCTCCCCAATTTTCAAATTTCATAAATATCTTTGGTGCCGGCAAAATTGGTGCTAACGGTTTGTTCTTATTGTAATAAATTTTATGTTGCCTAAGCCGGTGCTCTGCGGTAAATAGTCTTTTGCTTTTTGAATCGCAATGGAAGCAACGTTTGCACAATACAACACTATGTCCATGACGACTCATTTGGGCTCCTACTAATTTGCCTAAATTCGTAATCCTACAATAGTGTGTTTTATCCTTTTTGACACCAAAAAGTAAAAGATCGTGGTGGTCGTCTTTTTCTTCATTGTAAAATATTAATGGATTTGCTAAATATTGATTTTGGTTTATTTGAAATTTCTTATTTGTTTTATTTTTTTCTTGGATATTATATTTTTATGAGGACTTTCCTTGGTTCAAACTATACGCGTTTATTGAAACTCCCGAATTTTTTTTTTTAAAACTCGTGTACGTCTATAAAAGAAATGGGGTATGTCATCTTAGAAAATTATACCAATCTTCTACACAAGCATAATTTTGTTCAATTTTTATGTCATTTTTTTGGTTTACGAATTTAGCAAGCAAGCTATATTTGAAGCATTTTTCGTCATCGTTTTTTACATTTATAGTGGCTTTTTTATTTTCGATGGTGTGTATATAAGGTAGGAACCTTTTCAATTTCTCACCAACAATAGTGGCTACATCCATCAAGCGAAATATAACCGTCATTTTGGTTTTGAAATTATTAATGTAACACTTTAAAGATTTAATTTCAACATTTTAATACATAAAGCAACTTAATTTCTAATAGTCCGGAGAATCGAATTTTGGTTCATGGTAACAGTATATTGAACTTTGATTTTGTTTTTATTCGCTTGTTGAATTAAGGATATTGTATTGAAGTGATTGTATTCCAATAGTTTTTAATAGTTTTAAGTAGTTTTAAGTTTGTATGTATTATATAATACAATTCTATACTCATTACCCCTTTGGGGTGTTAAATAAAATAAATTAATAAAACGTTACCTATGAGATTAATATACCTATTTTTACTCTTAAAATATTGCTATATTTAAATTAATTTTGAAATTTGTGATACATGAACAGCATTATTTCAAATTTGAAATAAAAGGTAGAAAGTTATAACGTGCAAGCTTGCAAATGTTTTATATTTTTCTTAACTACTTAGATATTGGGTATTTTTAATTTTTTTACTGCTAAGGGCCATTAACTCAATACGTTTTTGTAACGTTGTGTTTCACATCCACGAAAGTTAAAGAAGCAAATTTAAAAGTTCCTAATTTAAAACTAGTTTGTGTATTGCTACCATCATGAATATTAGAAATAGTTTCAATTGTCTTTAAACCCGTAAACCGGGGTTTTTACTAAGTACTTTTTCAACTTTTTTTTCGATTTTTTTACGACTATCTGTCTGACTTCTTTCAATTTGTTTATTTATTGAACATTTATTTTCCCAGGCTATCAACTAGGGACAAATTTTGAAATTCAAGTTTCGTAATAAAATTAGCAAGGAATATAGATATACGTTATGATATGTACATTTTTTTATTTTTTCTATAAATTACTTTTGATTACATTTTTGACATTTTCTACTGAACTGTGTCTATTTCAAGTTTTGAAATCACGTCTACAATGATACTAACATTTTCGCAGTACGGAGAAGCAAACAATACATAATGTAAAATGGCGATATAACCACTAATTGTTTTAAAATAGCTTAAGACATAAATGACTAATGACATTGACATTGAACGAATATTTGACATAATATCTTTAATGTATACGTTTTAATGTAACTATATTTTCTTATAAAACTTTTGAATGCAATCAGTCACATACGAAGAAAAAAAAAATCTTTCAAAATATTGCGGCACATTTAGAGATTGCACCCAATTTTCAAACCATTGGCCTAGACAATAGTATCTATCTATGCCTATTGCCTAGATTCTTAGATAGTAGATGATAATAATATGGATTCACATGAAAACACGTAATATTATTAATAATAATTATGGATGGTCAAAATGATTAGGTAGGAACATATTATACATAATCCAGTTAAAATAAATAAAATGTGAAATGGGTTGAAAGTATTGTTACTCTTTTTACCTATATATCAATTGGATTGCCAGGATTTTTTAAAGGTGGGGGGCGTTTTAATTTTATATATTTAAATACAATCTGTGGGAGGGGGCTTTATACATTTTCCATGAATTCACTTTAGTAAATTATAACGTGCATTTAACTTTCAGATATTTCTAATCCATATTAAATATGAAATAAAATAATTTATAACGAGGTATACGTTTTGCAAGAATATATGTTCAGCTTAAATACGGCTAGGGGGATGGGGGAATTTTTATTAACACACTTGAAACACACACCTGGTTATACATCTGTCCTATATTGATAGCATATAAAATTTATATTTAACATAAAAAAAAATACAGTTTATTTTATACTAATAAACATATGAAATATATATTTCAAACAAGTAGTAAATTAAAAATCATTTAAAACGCATTCACCCATTTCGTCCTAGCTATTATAGACATCTGGATACAAGGTTTTTTTGTTTTAGGGGTGGGGGGATTTGACGTTATAACTGTGGAGTGGTTCTTTGGTAAAAAAAAAAAATGTGACAATATTAGTTGAACTATATCGTTCGTATTCGGTCGAAATAAAACCAATGTTATATATTAATTTTTGCTCATACAATAATCGGTTAAATCCAGTTTAATTTTTATTTTCTTCCATACATATTCCCGTTGTCAGGTTAATAAAATATATTATATCAAAATTCATTATCTTATTTATTAATGTGGTAAGCACGTTTATAAAATATTATTAGACAATTTTTCAATAATATTTATCATCGTAGCCCGCGTCGACTATACAATAATAATAATGCGCTTTAAATACCAATATTATTTTATTTTGACTTTTTCATCGATGATGATTACCTATACAGTGTACATAATATAATTCAGAATCCTAAGACTGGGCATTTTTATTGATAATCCATTCATAGGAATACTCCCCTCTCTCTTATAAAAGGCTCCACGAGCAGATAGTACCAAACCTTCCCTTTAACTTTCTGGACATTCCTCAGTTGTTCATCATCTCACCATTGAGATTATTTCCTTGGCAAATAAAATATTCTGAAATCTAGTAATTCAATCACTTACCGTTTATTTTCTAATGGACACACAGTCGTGTACGCAAATTCTTACTCTACTGGGGGTCCAGTGGAATTTATGTGTGTCTATTTGGACACGGAAAAACCCATTTAAAAATGATCTACTAAAAATCCTAATTAATATTCTCGCCGGTCGTTCATTAATTATTTAATAATTACTGATAATTATTTATTATCACTAATATTTAACACTTATATAATTACACATTATTATTAAATCATTAAATCCGCAAGTTATATTGTAGATAATACGATATTATATTATTATAATATACAAGTGTCCTACGAATATATACTCATTACAATATCTCTCGAGATAATAAAGATAATCGAAATCTAATTTATTATTATTATTTTTTTTTTATATACATTACTCGAAGGGATAGGGACTACAAATATTTATGTCTGAATTAATTTTGTATGTTTTGGTAAAATACTTTTTATTTTATTATTTTTGAAAAGCACTGTAAAGCACAACTTCACATTATATGCTGCAACTTATACTTGTATAAGCCATGATGGAAGGAAGTAAATAAAAAAAGTACTAAAAAGTACGAATACCCGTAAATCCTAGATTTTACCAAATGTGGTCGGTAAATGTCCGAAATTATGAACACGGAACATATATATATATTTTATAAATAATTCTGGTTGATAAAATACCTACACGAAATATTGTACACGCAACGGAGTGAGGATAACCTTACAGTTTATAATCTGTAGGTATACAAAATATATACAAAAAAAAATATACACAAATGTAGCTTATAAAAACTATTAAATTACAATTTAAGTTATTGTTCATAAGCGTGATCAAAATGTGAAGCATTATGGACATAAAGAGACACTTTACTATTTAAGTTATCAGCCATTATTTGCTGTCTTTCACTTGATGTTGGTTTATTATATGCTCAGAATGTGCCCCCGCGACCCGTTATCCCTACTAGCTCTGTAAGGTTATCCTCACTCCGTCGCGTGTACAATATTTCGTGTAGGTAATCACATTCTGAGCATATAATAATATTATAACGCCACCCGAATCATCATCAAATCAGACAAGTCCAATACATCTATTGCGAGTACCTTCGCGTCATTCTATTTTACGAATTTTTGAACTTTGAATATGTTTGTGAATTTAATGTTTAGACACGGAAAATAATATTTTTTGTATAATATTACTTTTTTTATAAAATTTATTATGGCCACTAAAAAAAAAAAAATTCGTCTAAACTCTATAATAGTTTAATTAAATTTAAAGGGGCGGGGGTGTGAGGTTTTTTAAAATTTACAAGGTAGTAGAATAAAAAGGTTGGGAACAACTGCATTAACACGTACACAAAACGAGCATCTATTGACAGCTCAAGGAACAAATTATCAGGGGCTAATATAGGCAATTTTTTATCAAAAAATAGTGATATTCTTATCCATAGACCTAATAACTATTATTTATTAACCTAACCTAATATCTATAAGTTATTAGGTCTATAATTTTGTAAT